CACAATTAAATAAATAAATACAGCGATAAACAATTAATTAAATGTGTAATTCATTAAATAAATAAGGAATTAAATATGTAATGTTATTTAACACCTGATTGGTCACGCTGCACATTAAGGCGAAGCAAATCGATTACAGAGACTCGATTCGCGTTAACCCCGCCCCCTAACTTTGATGGGTAAGTTTGACAGATTCTTTTAATGGTTTCGATGCACTGCGACACAGGACCATGAAATAATTAAATGCACACTGAAATAATTATATATATATTTTGTTAATAAAATGAAGACGTATTTTATTAAATTAATGACACATTTATATATTTAATTCCTTATTTATTTATTGAATTACACATTTAATTAATTGTTTATCGCTGTGTTTATTTATTTAAATGTGGCACTTTATATTAGCGACGTGGTTTCAATTAATGAATGACACATTTATTTATTTAATTCCAATTTAATTAATTATTGACACATTTAATTATTTATTTAATGCTGTATTTATTTATTTAATTTTGGCACTTTTTATCCTCCATACTACTGTTGACTCCAGTATGTATTTAAGGATATCGTTTACATTTGTGTAATGCTCTTTTTTGTGACAATCTTTTGAGACTCAGAAAGCATGCTAGAAAACATATTGAAGCACAGAACTATATTTATGTCAGTTATGTGGATTTAGGGTTCTTTGTATTTCCTGTAAATAGATGCAACATACAGTACTATGGGGGAGAGTTCTTTCTTATATCCATTTGTACTAGCTTTGTAGAAAGTTAATTCTATTTTAAAAAGCGTTGTATATTTGATAGTCAAAGTCTAAGCTATATAAATGTTTATTTATGGTGATGTTACTAAGAGGACAACTTTCCAGGTCTCTTGTTTAAACCCTATGGTGGCCATCGTGTGCTTTTATTCAACAAAGAACAACTCGTGGTTTTTTTTATTAGTCTTTTGGATTTCAGAAATGCTTTCTGAAACATGTATGTTTAAATTTGAAAAGCATTGCCTGGCTTTAAGGAGATTTTATGAAAATAAATGTGCCACAGGACTGCAAATCCCACTACTTGACCCATGTGTAACAAAAACTAAAGTCCTGTTAAACACTGGAAACATTCGGGGTCTCACTCACACCAAATGTTTCCACATTTATTCACTTCAACAACCAAAAAATAATTATTTTTTCTTCAGGATTTAAAGTGAGACCAACACAAAGTACTGCATAAAGTGAAAGGGAAAGGATTCATTAATTAAATATGTTTTAATAATAAATCCTTCACGGTATGTCTCTGTCTACTTTGTTTATTCAGTA